TGGGCCACAGTCTCTAGCTATTGGTGATTTGAATAACGATGCTCGACAAGATATCGTTGTTGTCAATTTTTATAGCGATGATGTAAGTGTCCTTCTTGGATATGGTAATGGTTCTTTTGCAAATGAAACAAGATATTCAGTTGGCCATGGGTCACTATTTGTCGCTATTGGTGATTTGAATAACGATACTCGACTAGATATCGTTTTTGTCAATTTTTGGAGCAATGATATAAGTGTCCATCTTGGATGTGGTGATGGTTCATTTGCAAATGAAACAAGATATCCAGTTGGCTTTGGTCCAACATCTGTAGCTCTTGGTGATTTGAATAACGATACTCGACTAGATGTCGTTGTCACCAATCGATATAGTAATGATGTGAGTGTGCTTCTTGGATATGGGAATAGTTCATTTGCAAATGAAACACGATATTCAGTTGGCTATGGACCAGAATCTGTAGCTATTGGTGATTTGAATAACGATGCTCGACAAGATATCGTTGTTGCCAATTCTTATAGCGATGATGTAAGTGTCCTTCTTGGATATGGTAATGGTTCTTTTGAAAATGAAACAAGATATTCAGTAGGTGCTGGGCCAGAATCTGTAGTTATTGGTGATTTCAACAACGATACTCGACTAGATATCATTGTCGCCAATACTTATAGCAATAATGTAAGTGTCCTTCTTGGATATGGGAATAGTTCTTTTGCAAATGAAACAAGATATTCAGTTGGCTCTCGACCATATTCTGTAGTGATTGGTGATTTCGATAACGATACTCGACTAGATATCGTTGTCGCCAATTTTGATAGCGATGATGTCAGTATTCTTAGCTATGATGATATATTTTTTGTAAAGCAAATGACACTCATAACTGGAAATGGTAGCAGACCACAGTCACTAGTAATTAGTGATTTTAACAATGATGGTCTAATAGATATCGGTGTCGTCAATTCACTTACTACTAGTCTTGGTGTTTTTCTTGGATATGGTAATATATCTTTTACCAATCAAGTTACACATTCAACTCATCCATATTTATATCCATGTGCTATGGCTGTAGGCGATTTCAACAATGATACTCATATAGATATTGTTTTTGCCAGCTGTGCCTCGGAAAATGTTGGCGTTGTCTTTGGATATGGCAATGGTTCTTTTGGAAATGTGATACCGTATTCAACAGGTTCAGATTCGTCCCGATACTATCTAGCTATTAGCGATATAAATAATGACACTATACAGGACATTGTCGTCACGATTTATGACAGAAATAATCTAGGTATACTTCTTGGATATGGGAACGGCACGTTTGCAAGTATTATTTTATTTCTGTTGGACTATGGATCCAATCCATTCTCCATTGCCGTTGGAGACTTCAACAACGACAGAAAATTAGATATTGTCGTAGCCAATAATGGGACAGATAGCTTAAATATTCTCTTGCAGACTTGTTAGCCTTTGATCTCTTATTCTATTATTCCCTTGATTACAATGTTCCTTGATTTAGATAGAATGTTTATCGAAGGGTGTGGGTGTGGGGTGTGGGTGTGGGTGTGGGGTGTGGGTGTGGGGTGTGGGTGTGGGGTGTGGGTGTGGGGTGTGGATG